CAAGGTTGGACACCCCTGCTCTAGTTCATGGATGACAAACTTGCAGCGTCACGTTGCCATCACGTGATGTTTCGCGTCGTTATTCCCCTTTGCAGAGCTGGGATGGGCGTGGGCCACATATTGACACCCTTGCTCTAGTTAATTGCAAAAATATACTTTGTTATAAAAACATATCAGCGAATGGCTTGTGTTAGGAGATTCATTTACTGCAAAATTGGGAAATTAATTAAATCATGTCCTAACACAATTAAATTGTTTATTTTATTTTTGACAATTAAATCAAGATTTAAATCTTAGCCAATATCTTCCACACAGAAAAGAACAAGCTGCTAATTAATGGAACTTATTTTATGAATATTACAATCTGTTTCTAAATTATGTAATACTTTACTTTTATATGATTTTAATTCTTAATCTTCTTTAATCCTCAGGAATTAGAAGCAATAACATTTATTTTTATTGTTATTATTGTTATATTTTTACCTTGAAAATTTCCATACAATAGCACTCTAGGACATACATTGTCTGCAAATATTCCAATAATAAATATGTCAGTAGAAATTTTTTCCGCAGTCTGGTGAGAGTTAGCTATTTTTTATTTCAGCTGTAGCTCTTAACAGTCCATCAAATAGCCAGTGAATACAAGAGTAGCACAGACATTATTACCGCACATATTCTTTGGTTCTTAGCTATAATCTGATGTCTATTATTCTCCTTCTAATCAAAATGGGGGGAAAGGAGCATTTTACTTTGTAATAAATAAATGAATACTTAAATGTGCTTATAATTATCAATTCTTCATAATCTCGCTATACTGTCTCTGCCCTCCTGATCAAATGCTTCAACGATGTTAATAACAACATGAAATTGAAATTCAGTTGAACTTAAATGTAGGTATGTGGGCATAAAACTATCATATTAGTTGCTCAGATACATTGACTAACTGATACTTTCTCAGAAATATATGAATAACATATATGAATGTGTACCAATTTTTTAAATCCACCTGAATGCAATAGTTTAGAGTCAACATTATAATCAAATTAAACAGAATATAATCAGCAACTTATCTTAGACATCTTTGTGTGATTTCTGAAGTCACAATTTCTTTTCAAAAGCAGTTATTTCAAAATGATAGTCAATGCTAAATCAGCAAATGTCATTATGTTTTGTCCCTAGATAATTAATTTGTTTTGTAGAAAGCAAGTAAAATAACCCAAAGAAGGAAGGAATTGATCCATGAATACTATATTTTTAAACTAATTTATGCTGACTTTGTTGTTGTTGCTGCTGCTGCTGTTGCAAAAAAACAAGATGCAAAACTTTCACCACATATAGCAAGCTTTAAATAAATTTACTTTGGATTTTTAAAAAATAAAATGAAGTTTTACTCCATAGCAGCTCCCCCCCTCCCCCCCCAAAAGAGTCATAATTCATGGGGAACCTACTTTCTTTCCTCTCAACTTTCATTCCTCTCCAGTAAATGCTGGGAAGGTGGGGGAGGGAGAGAAGAGGTAATTTTAATCTCTGATTTCAACTTCAGTGTATAAATCATACCACTAATAAGATATATAGCCTGCACCTATGTACAACATAATTTGTCTGAGGAAACAACTGGAATAAATTTTTAAAATTACCAAACGCTTGGAGAATTCTTTATTTTCTGAAAGGAATCCATATCCTGGGTGAACCTTAACAAAATAAAAGATAAAATTAAGTTTTTTAATGCCAGGCATGCAGAAGCTTAATTTGAACAATATACATTCAGTTTTTACTTCATATTAGATTAATTTATTCTGCTGAATCATTTCTTTTGAAATTCATTGTGAAAAAAAATATCTATTTGAAATGTTTGCACTAATTACATTTTAAAAAATTCAATTCATCTACCATATCTAGCACTTTTAGGCCCAATTTACATATGTGGCACCTTTAAAAAAAATAAACAAAAAGCATATCAATTTACTTAAAATTACATAATAAAGCAGGTCACCCAACATTACATGATCTGTGTGATCTGCAGGTCACACATTTTTTATTTAATTCTCTGCGTGTAAGTGGGTATATTTAATTTATAGAGAACATCTAACATATATGTTCTGGATACACTAAATATGGATCAACCTAGTTGAAAACAATACCCTTCAAAGAGATACAGAAATAGATATTTGACTACTTTTCTATTTTATTTCCACTTAATTAAACCATTCCCATAATTTGTTATGTTTCTTTCAACATAACCTTTTCCATACCATTCAAGTCTGTAATATCTCTACTTTTTCAAGTTTATAGTTTATTTTTCTCTCTAAATCATTTCCTTAACTGTTGCTTCACCAAAGTTCATAGCTATACCATCAGTATTGAATGCCTAGTTTCAAAGAAAGCAGAATATAAATCTGTAGGCTGAGATAAAATGTTAAGGTGCCCCTACACCAAAATAAGGAATATATTATGCAAATCTCCACTATAAGCAACACATGATATAATAACAAAATACAGCAATGTGAAAAAAATAATCAAGTTTCATAATTTGATCTGTATGTAAATTCACAACTAAGAAAATATATGCAGTGAACTAAAGATGAAAGCCTGAACTATTTTTTATCTCTATTAAGTCTTCTTAACTAACAATGTAAACATCTGCAGTGTCTGTTGGCTAATTAATGTTGTTTGCCATTTTTCCACCCCCTCCCCCTTCGCAAAGGCACCATACTGAAACATTTATTTCAAAAGAAATGATAATGCTAATTGAGACACTCCAGGGTAATTGCTGGTGTTGGCTGACTCCCATCCCTCACATTTTATTTAAAGATGCTTTCGCATTCAGCAGTTCTAAAGACCACATTTGCATTCAATGATGCAGTAATAGCCCTAAAAGTATGTTGCTGTTGTTGCTTTTAAAAAACAAACATTCCTGTAAAAATTTTGAATCTAGTCCTAATTCAGCAGAAGAAACAGAATAGATGGGACTAGTATGAACACACACTGAATTACCCCAATGTATTTCATCAGTAACACAACACATTTAAAAATAATATGTGGATGTGCCATCTATTTCCATGCAAGTGTTTTGCCGCGTGCACATTCTCATATAGGCGAGATCATTAAAAAGTTTGAAAATAAAACTATTGTCGAAAATAAAATCACACGCTATTGTATGGAAGATCCAAACAAGAAGCTATGGCACAGAAAGGGTTAGTGCTCTAAACTAATTGGGATTTTTTTTTCCCCCAGCAAATTTGGAAATGAACTGAAGCTGCTCCCTGGTGTGAAAGCTGAATCCAGCAGCCACCTGCAGGATCAGCTACCAGCACTGCCAGATGCTACAAAAGCCTTTGATTTCCAGTAGCAATTTCGGCCACATTTAACTCATGTGACATGAACTAAACTGAAATAGCATATTCAATCATTCCTCCCTTCACTTTTTTTTAATCTTTAAATACAAACTCTAGTGTCCTTGCTTTCTATATATGAAACAGCTGCAGAGGAGAGATTCATTCAGACTCACAGCTTGGGCCCGCGTTTTTTTAATGGCTTCCATGATAGCATCCATGTTGAGGTAGCTTTTACTAGTGGGAGCTGGGCCAACACAGACGGCTTCATCGGCCATTTTCACATGGACCTGAAAAGACAAAATGAGTACATTTTAATATACATGTGCCAGCCAATGTTTACTTCTATTTCCCTAAGCTATTAATGTTTAAGAAACAAAAGTGGACACAAATGGCATATGAATACATTGTGTAGATTATATGCACATATAAATCCCAGCACTCAAAATCAGACATACAAGAGGATATAGATAATGAAGACAGGTACACACAGTGCAAATAAGGATATACAACAATAAATTTCACTTTATACTGAAGCACAAACATAAGGACTTTATGCTCAATTCAGTGATATTTAGCGAAGTAATATACACACAAATACAAATCTGAACATAGCACACTGATCATCTATATGTAAATTCAGAGTCTAAAACCATTTTGTTAAATGTAACAGCCTAATATCTTACTACTTAACAACAAATATTCACGGCTAGTTCCATCTAAGCAGGCTCCCCAGGAAGTTGGGGATAATTAGAGTGAATTGAATGAAGGGATGCAGTGGTGTCCCTGCACAGCATCAGGTCAACTCCATGCCCAAATTAAAGCATATGACTAAAGAGTTCAATATCACTACACATGAACCAGAAAATCTTGAGATTTTTTTAAAGCAACCTTAGATTCCCAAAACCATTCTGATCCTTTTTCCACACAGACTATTGTTAGCTATATTTCCAAGCAAATCTGAGAAATAAGCAATAGCTAAATAAAGTTTCAGAATCAATTTTGAAAATAATGCATGTGCTAAAACAGCTTATTTGTTTTGTATTTTAAAGACACTTGACCTTTTTTTAAAAAAAATGATCAGAAAGCATCTGTCATTGTAATAATTAGAAATGGATAAAAGTCTTCTATTGTTTATATTAAATAAAAAATATTTAAAATATTAGATAATATTCAATGAAGCATTGCAATATAGTTATTTTCATATTTTTTTTCATTTATAGCCAGTGACAGAGCTAAATGTAACATAGGAATGGAAGTTAAAATTACATTTAGCAGGAGGTTCTTTTAATGAATTTAAATTTTGTAATATGCAACAACATCCAAAAGTCAGACATCTGGAAGTATTAAAGAAGCAAAAGAAAATTTAAAGACTTGACACTAAACCTAGTGTTTATTCTTATCAAAAAAAATATAAATAGCTACTGAACATAAATATAGATTTTGATGTTTATTATGTTACAATAATGCAATATTCAAGTTCCTTAGTAACTCCAATTAGCGATGGACAATGCTACCATTTAAATGTTAATACTGTATATTCTGTGTAAGATTTATAAAATGTTATTGTTTACAAATATATCATTTTTCATTACAATATAAGATACATATGAATCATATAAATATGTATTTTTTTAATTTCTCAGAAATTAGTGTATTTTTATTTTTAATAAACAGTTTTGTAATTTTTCTCTTCTTAGTCAAAAAGTGGTAAATAATGCTTTAATTTCACTACTCTTTTATATTTTAAAAAAATAGATGTATTCTTAATTATGAAAAAATAATCTAAGAAGCGTGGGAAAGGTATATAACTGCAACATGCATTCCATTTTCCAATCATACAAAAACTTAAAATAATTTTCCCACTATTTTTTTTAAAAAACGATCCATTGGCAATGAAGCCATTCAAAAAGCAACCTAAACGATGTAACATTCAAAGCAGGGTTGTCTGCTGCATTCCCTTGTGCCCTTTTTGACTGCTGGAACAATTATTTTATTCTGAAATCAAAAGAGATCCTATATTCATCTCCATTCTGTTATATTTATTCCAACAAATTGACATTTTTCAGAATCAACTTCTTCCCTTCTATTTCATGTGTACCCATCTACAGTCATCCCTTCCCTTGCAGAGAGGAGGAGGAGGAGGAGGAGGAGGAGGAGGAGGAGGAGGAGAAAACAAATATTTTGCTAAAATGTTTTTAGAGTTTATTTATATTAGAATTAAAATTTTAAACTCTGCCTTTCCATACTGTGATAGCTTAAAACAAAACAGAATTACTTTAAGCAAAAAAAAAAAAAATAGAAATGTATATTTTGTAATACAATAATTATGCAAATAGCATTCAAAAAGGATAATAAATTATCAGTAAAGTTATGGGACCAGTAAATAAACAAAGTCATGCAAATGGAGAAAAGCTTCCATTTCTTGATTAAATAAACAATATTTTAAAATATTAGATAATATTCAATGAAGCACTTCATTGCAACAGTTACAATATTTTCATTTTTTTTCATTTATAGTCAATGACAGTAAAATGTAAGGTGGTAATGGAAGTTAAATTTATATTTAGCGGAAGTTCTTTTGATGAATTTAAATTTTTAATAAACAACATCCAAATGTCATACATCTGGAATTTTAAAGAAACAAAAGAAAATTTAAAGACTTGAACACTTTAAACCTAGTGTTTATTCTTATCAAAAGATATTTAAACAGCTACTGAACTTATGGATTTTGATGATACACTTTATGTTACAGTATTGCAATATTCAAGTTCCTTAGTATGAATAAATAAAAAATCATGCAAATTTATAAGGTCAAGACACACCACTCTGTGAAAGCCAGTCCATCATCTAGGCACCATAGTTTCATCCTCCCACTATTTCCTCCCCTATCCCCACTTATTGAGGCAACACAAAAGCCCCTGAAATTGACAACATTCAAACAACATTAAAGCAAAAGAAAAACTTTGGGAAGAACCAATACCAGAAAGACTCCAAATAGTCAGGAACAAAAAAAAGCCAAAAACAGCATCCTTAACAAACATATTGACAAAACTGGAACAAATATGATTTCTTTCACTTTTATGAGCCATGGTGGCGCAGTAGTTAGAATGCGGTAGTGCAGGCTAATACTGCCAACTGCCAACAGTTCGAACCCGACCAGCTCAAGATTGACTCAGCTTTCCATCCTTCAGAGGTTGGTAAAATGAGGATGCAGATTGTTGGGGACAATATGCTGACGCTGTAAACTGCTTAGAGAGGGCTCTAAAGCACTATGAAGTGGTATATAAGTCAAAGTAATATTGCTATTAACTAGTTTTAAACCACAGCCTGGTCATAGTTTGTTGAAGTTTATTATTCTTTCCAAGGGAACTCCCAATGCAGAAATCCAATATGGAGGTAACAATTGCTATGCCTAAATCAGACAAAAATGAACTAATAGATGAACTGGGATATCAAACTGAGTTAGTTGGAAGCACTCTTACCTACTATTGTCATCTGTACATCCAAACTGGTGTTGTTGCTTTTAAACAATTACAATTCTATCAAGGCCAAGTTGAATATGATTTACAAGTTGATCAGACACCTCAAATATAATATTTATTTTTAGATGGATTAAACGTTTAAACTAAACTCCCTAACTCACGCTATCTCTGCACCAGTACGTTATAGAATGAAGACAAAACGTTTCTATTTACAGCAACCTCCAATTTTAATCTCAGAAGTCAACACAGAAGTTAGATGAGGGAGAATGTAAATAGAGAAAAGTGATCCAGTGAACTTTTATGATGGAACAGTGGTGTAAACCTAGTTCTCTTCAATAATTAACAGTCTAACCAGTAAAATACAGAGAATGTTTTAAATTTGACAGCACTAAACAGCAAAAATTATATAAAGGATTTCATAACTCTGGTTTTCTTATTCTTGGGAGTTTAGAATATAATGATAAGAAATGTAAGAGAGAAGAATACAGTTCAATACACACAAATATTTTATTTAAATAATTTTAGATAATAAGGTAAGAAAAGGAAGAAATGAATAAAAAATACATGGTGCAGAAAAAATTCCTTTTCTTGGAAGTAGTTGAAAGCATGTCATTTCAACAGCAAAACATTATTTACTTATCTAGAATATTTGGAAGTTGCCTTTGCAATTGTCCATAGAAGTTGACAAAATATATAACCAATATAGAATGCAGGATGGAATCTTACCAATGCTCTATTTTTCAGTGGGGAAATAAGGCATTCAAATAAGGCAATTTCTGAGTTTTAATTAATTAAATTTATTTTAATTCATTCAAGTTACTATTCTTAAGTATATACATGGATAAATACAATCCAAGAAATCAACAGATGACATGGCAAATTGATTCAAATCTATATATAAACAACAAAAAATGTTATGATTTCATTCCATGGGAATTTCAAATCTAAATGCCTACAAAATTTGCTAAAATTAAAACTCCAAGATGAAGGATTTCAGCCTGAGGGCTTTGAAAAGTTTGTTAATTTTAAATATTTAACTGAATAAAAATTTTACTTTATAATACTAATTTTTAACTATCACTAGTATCATTAATAGAATCCTATGTGAAACCAGGAAAATGACAGCATTGTTAACAGTTCTGGTAACTCAATTCAGAGTCCTGGAAAATCAATTTTTAAATGTTATATTAAAAAGTTAAATGTAGCTCCATAGTTCCCAAAGTTTCTTCGATAGAGCATCTAGGTAGAAACCACTGCGTAATTTACAGATACTTTACAGATTCTCAAAGCAAAAAACCAATCAGAAGAAGACAATAACAAGTCATATCCATCCTGTAGCAAACTATTAACAGGATGTATTGTTAATTAATTGATGTATGTATTCAACTTCAAAGCATCTTTAGTTTTTAAAGTAAACTCATTCATTATCTTTTGTAATAGTTAAGTATAATTTTACATTAGCCAGAACTACCTGCCTTTACTATTTTAAATTACCATTTTTACACTTTAATTAGTTGATTTTTTTCCCATTTGGTAGATGCTTCTTACATGAATCTAAATACCTAATTAAAAAGAAACCCAACACAAAGATCCTTCAGGAGAAATGAATGCTTGGGTCACCCACTGTTCCAGTTATGCAGAGTAGACCAACCCTTGGGATATTCAGGTCTTAAAGCAATGATTCCGACAACATTGCACCACACAATCAGTCTTCATTGCAACCCATTTTCACTTTTCATTCCTTTGTTCTTTTTCCAACATCAAAGGCATGAGTACTGTATGCATTATTCGATAAGCCTATTTTG